TAGAGGTCCCAAAAACAAATTTATTATTGAGGATCAGGTGCCTTCCTTGAAAATTTGTTTAGGAGCAATGTTTTATAAAGGGTTTAATTGGGGAACTGGTGGTTTTGGTCAGCTGTCAGTTTTGAAGAAACCTAGAGAAAGCTATATCAGCCAATGAATCATAATCATTGGCCTCAGAAGGAATTCAAACCCTTATTAATTGGGTTTCCAATTTGAGAATTTAGGGTCCCCCCAAAAATTAGCATTATAGAGGTACCATGTTTCAAACAGGGGGGTCTGAATAAATTTTGAAAAAATTAGCATTATAGAGGTACCATTTACTAATCAGGATCCAACATTAACAGTCACTGAACAAGAACATACTGTATCACTGTATCACCATGTTGGAACCAAGTCCGCAACTGAACCATCATCCACTAAGGCCCTGGGTCTTAGGATGGACCCAATCTTAGGATCATTCCTCGCTTTCGTCACCCCCCCTGTGAGGCCCTGGCCTTCTCAGAGTCTCGGTTGCAGATGACTCGAACCCTCTCCAGTTCCACCACTTGCACGGCCATAACATGCCATCTAAAAGGTTTGGTTTCTAAATGCGTCTAGTCTGGTCTAGTCTAGTCTATTCAGGGTGGTATATATGCCATAGCTATTGGTTTCTAAATGTGTCAAGTTCATATACAGGTGCCTGGATGTGGCCCGACTAGGGTGTCTTGAAGCTAAATTCGTTGGAGTCAGAACTAACTTAAACTTGCACGTATGAGGGCATATGAGGGCCGACCAGCTGCTTAAGGTTTCAGACCTTCCAATGTCCTAAACAAGGTGTTGCTCGGCCACTCCGTGGGCACAGTTGCATGCGATTTGCCATGGCTCACGCTGGAGACCAACGCCCCCTGATGCGGGAGAGCCGACCTCGGCAATCCCTGCAGATGGTCACAGATCGATCGATCGACATGAAATCCGACGAATTTGCACCTGCTCAATCGTCGTGGAAGCCATAGTCATTGAGGCTTTGACCGCAATTTTACGGTTTGGACAGAACTCCATGGCCTCGGCGACAGGGCAACAATCCCGGATGCAGCTGGCCCAAGCTTTTCTGCCCAAGGAGATCCCCATCGTCGTCATTTCATGTGATAGTTCATCAAACTACATCAGTGCCAATTGAAGAACACCTTCCATGTCTCACATGGTCTCACGGCCGAACCCTTTGATCCCTCTTTTTCGACCAAACTCCCCAAGGATCTCAGTTGGTTGCCGACCACGGCGATGTCTGCTTGGTGGCCGGGATTGGCAGAAAGCTGTTCGAAGGTGGTCGGGTGGTGGTTGCACGCCGTGGAGTTGTCCACGGCGCAGAACGGAGCTGGCTGGGAATTGCTGGGATGGTTGGAATGCCTTTAACTTGTACGGGGCGGGTTTTGGTAAAGAGGAGGGAGTGTCTTGAACGCCTTTGACATTAAGTTGTGTGTATAAGATATGTTGCAACTTACAGTGATTATGTAGATTGGAGCGGTTGATGACTTGATCAGGCAAACAATAAGATGTTATACATCAAAGAGAGCCTGGATCGATATGAGTTGGTTGGTTGTTTTACTGTACTCCTTTCACCTTGGCTCCCAACAGTGACTAGCAGATTTGAGGGTCTAAGTGGACAAGCTAAACTATGACGATCCGGTAACGGAGACAGACATGGAATGGCCACCACATTAAACACAGGCTATCACTGCCCTTCAATCATTCATTCTCATCCAACACGGTGTCCCATTACTTCGTTCAGTGCCTGCGTTGCTAGCTGCTAAGCTGCTAGTCGCACCCTTCCAAGGCCCTACCACTGGTGCATCATCAAGGCCGTTTGCGCCGGCATCACCGACGCCTTCCACGGGCTCTTCGTGGAGGCTCGGGTAGATGACAGAGTGGGTGGGCCACCTCACCCGATCAATTCCAATGACTTCTACGCAGGAGTGTAGTGAAATGATGTGAAATGTGTTTGTTGCATGTAACGTTACATGTGTGAGATTTCACGCTTTTGATGTTCGCATGGCTGACATGTGTTGT